ATATGATGAAGATCCTATGGCGACCGGAAATGTGATATGACTGGCTGTGGCGTAAGGAATCCGAGCCACGCGGCTGATGATATCGAAGTACTCACGCGTACCTCCTTTCACTACGACGGCAGCGGTGCGGATGTGCGTCTTCAACTGGGTAGGAAGATGGCACAGTCTTGTTCGTTTATATTACATTGTGATCAGCCACAGAAATAAAAGAGATAAAACGGAAAAGAACAATCGTAACATTTCACGCACAAGTTGGATTTTTTCAGGGACACTGACTGCTAACGTTAACACCGATGACACCACGCAGCCAGTTTTCTTTCAGTCGATTGAATAACACAGGCAGAATACCGAACAATGGTTTCAGTCAAAAACCAAAAATTTAGCAGATTTTTTTGTAGTACTTAAATAAAAATATCTGCATGAAAAAAATAAGTACAAAGTTAGATGTTTTATCCTTAAATAAATGGTTTTCGACTTTTAATTTAACCTGTTTTTAGGATTTCATATGATCAGATGAAGTACATCCTATCGTGAAACACATTAGCACAATCATTGGACAATATCCTTATGTATATGGTATATTTTTTGTAAGACAGTTATTTAATACTAAATATCGAAACCATTTGATCTAGCAAAATAGTTTTTTCCGCTTCTCCTGTGACTCGCTTTAAGCTGTTTACATCACAATTTAAGTGACATGATCTCCACTCCTGGAAAGACAAATTCTATAGGTTCCAAGAATCTTTGCTCTATGGTATATTATCATCATTTACCCTGATGGGCAAGGGTCTTCTCTTAGGAGTGGGTTCAAGTTTTAGTTCACAACGCGGGCCTAATGCGAGTTGAGAACTTTACACGCTTTCCAGGGGTTGTGAACCTTCTTCAGCACGTACGTTTCATTGTGATGTTTCCATTCACCTCACCACTAGTGAGAGGTATTACCTAATTATAAGGTAGGTATTAACTATTAAATGTTAAGAAAATTACGTAATTTAGATATTAAAGTTATATGTACACACAGCTACTTGTAATTGAACCATCGATTTGAGAAGCAACCTGCTCCCACTGAGTTACCACCGTTCTCCATTCAAAATTACATAGGAATAATTTTGCAAATTGAAAATAGAACTATTTTTTAAGAATCTAAATCGCGTATATTTGTTTTTTTTTTTTAAACAAACCAACGTTTCGTGCTCTTTACAGGTCCCATAGTCACGACCATAGATATAAAAAAGGGGAGATATGTAATGACGCTATGTAAGATCGGGTACCGATGTTGCCACTTTTTAGCTTGTGTGCAATTCAAACTTTACGCTCTATTATCTACTACCATAACTTAAAGATTGGGTAGAGCTTAAAACGTGAAAACGACGTCACACAATTTCAAAATTTAACAAAAATAAACTTACAGTCACTTGAGTAAGAGTTATATTACAATATTTCAGTATTTTTTCATCCTGGTTCAGCCTTTCACCATCAGGTGGCGTTTTAGTAACAATGCTACTAGTATATAATAGCTAACTATTAAACTCATTTTTCGTTACACTAAGAACTCACGGAGTGGTTTTCACTCGCGTCTGCCGCGGGACCGCGGCATCTGTAGAATGTAATAGTTAAGTATGTAAAATTAGTAGCACATTTCACGGCGCGTTTTACGCCTATAGTGGTGACGTGGGGTGAGTTCTCTATTAACCGCGCGATTTGCGACTAACTCCCAGTAACTTCGCGGTCCGTTCCGCAATCGCAACGGTTTCGTGCCCGCAACCGTGGTGGCTACGTGCCTGCACAAAGTTGCAGGGTCGTGAATATTGAAATAAAACCGCTGTCTAACAGCAACGGCGGGCGCGGATGGAAACCGTTCCGTAAATTGTTAACCTTATTAACCTTAAACTGACGCTACTCAACGAGGGATGTGGTCCTACCTAATCGATAGTTAGAAACCATGTGACTGTTTTTAATATAAAAATAAATATTCCATTTTTCATACTATACCTACGCTGGAACTGGTGTATAATTAAATTAATATATTAATATAAATTATTATTATTTTCTTAATGGCAGCCACCAGGCTTGAGCCAGTGTCAGTTTTCCATTATACGTTATCACGGGTTGGTGAAGCTGTCACTATCACCCCCCCGAAGGGGCTCCCGCCTTGTCGTGGCGGGGGGCTCTAGTAGCCGTGGTCGATTTCATCCCACGATGAAGCTAAGAGGAACCCGCGGGGCCGGCCGATGGTGCTAGGCTGGCCCGAGGAGGAGGGCGTTCCGCGCGGGGCTCGTTTGGCCAGCGGGAGACCGCGCGGATTCGCGAGGAGGAGGGTCGCGGGGGGAGAGACGTGTCGGTGTGTCGTTGCCGCTCGTCCTGTCCTCCGCGACCCTAGCGGGGCTGCACCGCTTTCAATGATGCAGTGGCGGCGGGGCCGCGGGGGAAGAGACGTGTCGGTGTGTCGTTGCCGCTCGTCCTATCCTCCGCGGCCGAACGTGGGCGGTTGGCCCGTGGTGGGCGCTCCAAGGGACTCTCTTCGGAGAGTCCGCGCGGAAGCGCGTTAGGTGTTGCGGCGGAGCCTGCCATCAGATCCGCCGCGGGGGCTGGGGGAGCAGCCACTGAACTTCACAGTTGAGTGGATGCTGTCCTGGCCCCCCATGGCCCCTGGGTAGCGGACTCGGGGGAGTTCGTTGCCCAGCATAAAGGGGCCCGGGATGGAAGGCTCGTCTGGTGTTCGGCGAGCCTCACATTCGGAGTCGGGGGACCGATGTGTCTCCCTTCTCGAGGAGGGGCTGCGCAGGGCGCGGCCAGCCGCTGGTAGGGGCGCGGACGAACGCAACAGCGTACCCGTACCCCCACCTACAGCGGAGAGGAGGAACACTCCGGGGGTTTAGTGCGGTCGGGCTGCTCCCCTTCAGGGTTCAGTCCAGTCCCACATGACCCCGGCTACGCCCCCGCGGGACCGGGGTATCTGTAAGCAGATTCCCCCGGATTAACAAAAAAAAAAAAAGCTGTCACTGTCAAGAGTAAACTCGAAACAACAACGAATTTAATAAATTAAGTTATGTTGTTTTTTTCATGAAGGATTTATGTAATTTTCTATAATTGTTTGTAATTTATTTTGCATGCACATGTAAAATAAAGCCGATTTTATTTTATTTATTATTTAATTTTCATTGATTTCATTCGCTATGGAAATTTAAACAAAGTCAGAAACAGTAATAAGAAAACCCATCTTTTGATTTTCCTGCAGCTTCAATCCAACCTTCTTTTATATTGAACTCATTAGAAAAAATTAAAAATTAAAAATACTTAACGTTTAATCTACGAGTATAATGGAATTTAAATATCTAAATTATCTAAAACAATAATACACTTACATTTTTCTTCAAGCAACAGCAACATACAAATTGACATGAAAATTGAACCGGTTGTCCGAAATATGAGTTGTTTTAAAGTTACTCGAAATAAAATGTTTTGTAAAAACAATAATAATAATAAAATAAAAGAAATCAATTTAACGTGAATGCTTTTCGCTTCAATATTTTAAGGACTTTAATTAGAAAAATTATAGTAAGAAATTCAAACATTTCTGTAAAAGTTTAGTGTCGATAAACATCAGTCTTCGCAAATGAACATCACTATATTTGAGTCTAGAAATTTCTATGAAGACAAAAAGAAAACATCGAATAATAATAGAAATAGTAACTAAAAATGCAAATAGCCGGTGGAATGTTTTCTCATTTTTGTTTTCACTCCAATTTTTACAAGGTGTATCGCTACAACTTGGCATTTTCACGTTTTGCGAGAGATCTTACATGTACAACGATCGCCATGTCACTGTGGCAATGTTTGTAGGCGTGTCACCTCCATATGATCATTTTGATCATATCGAGGCGACACGAACCACGCCCCCATATCAAATCTCCCCTTTTTTTCTATATCCATGGTCACGACTGACTGAGATAATAATATAATAATAACGCACACACTTTATGGCCCTGCACTATAAAAACCCTGTATTGCCACACGCATAGACAACCACAAATTACACCCGAATTCACAAAAGAAATAAATATGGACCATACAAATATTTCTCCCGGCCCGGAAATCGAACCCGGAAGCTCTGACCGGCACGGTAACCATTCGACCACGGAGGCATTTAGAGATGGATGGTCAAAATGCATGGATAAAGGATGGTTTGCTAATGCAAATAATGCGTCTAATATTAATATATTAGACGGAACTAATCGATGACTTTACCATCTCCATTGGACCGTGAACATGGGACTTCTACAGGACCCTAAACGTTGGTTTGTTTTAGGAAATAAATATAGGCGGCATAGATCTGAAAAAATACCGTCATTTCCAATGGGAAACAATTGCGAAAACCTAGGAACTCGTTGAATTTAGCAAAAGTTGCCTGAGAAGTTATTTTATTGAAAATTTCTGAATAAGGAACAACACATGTAAAGACGCATATGTTCAAGTGTGTAAAAATCGGTTTAATTTTTGCAAACAGTTCACCAGAGGTAATAAATAGTCAAAGCGTAAAACGGAGCTACGTTAACGGCATTCATCACTTTATGACTTTTTAACACTCTCAGCGCTATAGAACAAACAATTTTTCTGAAGCAGCAGGTCACGTGGGCGGCGCGCGGGAGACGTATTTTTTTTTCACTGCACGCCGTGCCTGACTTTAAGAAACTTTTGTAGCAGGCCATGTGGGTTACCGGCGGGACACGAGATCGATACTTGATTATGGTCTGGATCAGTTGTTAGCCGACGAGCCAAACAATTGGCTGTGTTCGCCGAACGCACAAGTTATATTGTCGGCCTGCTGATGCAACTTTTGGCTGGTCTGTGGACAGGACTAGAAAAATCGAAAATAAATTTAAATTCCTAATTGTGGTACGCGGTGACCCACATGACCTGCCAGATAAAATTCGAAAATACGTTGTAGCCTGCTGCATTTGGGATTTTGTGGGCGGCCGGCGGCCCACATGGCTTGCTGGTTAACATTCGAAGACACAAAGTGGTCTGCTGCAGTCGAATTTTTGAGGGCGGCCGGCGGCCCACATGGTGCTAAGTGCTAAAAGCATTACACCTTCAGTGACGTTAAACTTGCACTTTACCCTTGCTTTAACAAGACTAAGATATTTTTAACCGTAAACTATAAACCAGGTTGAGTTAGTCGACAGTCAGAAAATAACGTTCTTAGAATGAGATGCAACTGTAACTTTGTTATATTGTGTACCGCTCAGTTAAAAAAATAAATTCTACTGTACACTTAGTGTAGACAAGAATTGTGGACAATAAATTCTAATGTGCTGCTGACCGTACCAATATTAAAACATGGGGTGAACGAATGAAGCTTCCCGGCACGACGTAATTTACTGTACATCTGGGGCAACATAATCAATAATCAGCAAGTACCTTACACCACGACGGCAAGCATTACCGTGTATGCCATCGATACGAAAGAAGCATGAATATTCATAAATACCTGAAAAGTCACCAGTGTCACCCCAGAAAACATTTTTCACAGCTTTAGCAACCGACGACCAAATATTCTCCTTATTAGAATCTGTATGTCTAACAACTTCACTGGATTTCTCGTTAATGCTTTCACCATCTTCAACAATTCTCTTAACACTGACTGTCTTTTTAGTTATAACAAATTTAAACTGTATTTCAGTTTCCTGTTCGTTAGTTTTTAAAACAGATGTAATACAGTTCTGTAAAGATCCAGCAATGTTTGCGCTAAGTGATGTGATAGCTTTATTCATTTTGCTTTCCATTGGATATTCCATGCAGGTTTTATAGAGCTCTACGTCTGTATTTGATTCAATGGATACTGCAGGACTTTCATCTTTGAAGTCAATAGCTCTTGGCATGTTGGGATGCTCGCCCATAGGTGGAGTGGTAACAGGTGGCTCTCTTTTAGTCACTGGGGTCCGTGCCATAGTGATACCGTTGTTTTCAAATCGGTTGATAAGTGCTTGAAATCTGGGGTTGATGCAGTATCGCGGTTTTTGTGGTCCGGGGGTTAACATTCTCTTTGGTTTACGAAATACTGTAAAAATGCAAAATTAACACATTGAGTAATGATACAAATTACTTCTATAGATACTGCAAACGTTGTTGTGACCGTTTTTGATGTGTGTAGTTGGCTGACCGAAGGAATGATAAACGCAAACTGACAGACTGAGGGCTTGTGTTATTTTGTTTGCCTAATTTTGTCACTTGTTGTATGACTTGATCTAATAAAAAAAATCTGGAATCGTAACTCCGATATTTTCTTTTTGAAGATTAAACAATACATGCTACTTTAAATGGGTCGAATTTCTATGAATTCATTCTTTTTTTTAATAATAATAATAATAATAATAATAATAATAAATCATTTATTGTCTGGTAACATTTTCTTCCTTAAAAAACTAATTAATCAAATACAACAAAATAAATAAATTTGAGACAAAAGGCAGAGGCTCAGCTTATGCTGGCACGGCGATAAGACCGCGCAGCGCTGTTTTTCATTCTCCCTAATCCCTATGGTCTTGAGCGGGATACATGTCAACGAGGGCATATAGCATAATATATTAAAAGACATACATTGCACAAAGAAACAATAACAAATTGATATGACATTGATGGAAATGTGGAGGAAAAAAAAACAATAAAATAATAATAATTATAATGATGAAACTAAAAAAAAAAATGGTAAAGAAATATTAACATAAACAGTTCATGGAAATCCTGGGTGTATGTGTGTATGTGTGTGTGTATGTGTGTGTGTATGTGTGTGTGTGTGTGCATGAGTGATCGGTATTGTGGTGAATGGGATTAGCAGTCATGTCAAAAAAGTCTACTATTTTTATGATTTTACAATATGCATGTTTCAGGTTTTCTGCAGCGAGTTGTCTGCGCAATAAGGCCGATTTGTATTTTATTCTAAAGCTATTGATGCGCATTTTATTCCTTAGCGGTGGAGGTAAGTCATTCCAGATACCCGCTGCATAATACCTGAAACAGCCCCTATATCGTGTTGTTTTATTTTTACGTATAGCCAGCAAGTTCAAAGTGACAGATCGGAGACTCCTATGCGTAATATTTTTTATCCACGTGAGTTTTTCAAATAGGTATTCCGGGGTTTTACTCCATACCAGCTTATGATTGCAACAGGCAAATTGCAGCTCTCGCCTAGCACTCATATTTAGTATGCATTTTTTATTAATGTAGGGTGTTATGTGCTCTCTTTTTGGTATTTTAAAACAGAATCTGATGCAAGCATTCTGGACTCGCTGAATAGATCGCCCCGTGCTGCTATTCAACCGGGGCCCGTAAACGGAACTACAATAATTAAAATAAGATAGCACGAGAGATTCAATCAACAGCACGCGTATGTCTTCTTTTATATATGGTCTTATTTTATAAAGCGTTTTTAGTTGAAAAAAAAGCGTTTTTAATTTTATTGTTTATATGTTGCACATAATTTTGCCCCTCATCCAGAATCAGACCAAGGTTGCGAGCAGATGTCACTCGCTCTAAAAATACTCTTTTTCCAGATCAATAAAAATATGCATTTGGCTTTTTACTTGAAATAGAACCAAAATTACCTCCTCAGATAATTTTCTGTGTCACTATACACATAAGTAGCCTAAATACCTGTTCAGGCAATTCATATCCCAATCACATTCGATTTTTTCGTTCGTTACGAAACAACGTACCTCTTTTTATTTTAGGTTCCTGTTGAAATACGGTATCCTCAGCAAATTTTACTTTCTTTATTTTTATCGAAGAATTTTCCCCATTAGCAGATTCTCCAAAAGTTACTTGCTTCTCTGAACTATCTTGACTGCCAAGACGCAGACGGCTTCCGGTTATTATGATACTTTTTAGCTTTTGAGGCTCGATTGCTAGGTCTGTTTTTGACGGCTGGAAACACATGAGTTATTTTAGCCTAGAAACTATTGAGAAATGGCACAATTTTCACGAATATATTTTGAACAAAAATTTCAAAACAAATAATATATTCTATCACTGTGCTATTTTTAAACTCAAGTAATGCCTCCGAAACTTAAAAGGCAAAATATTTTGGGATGTTTGGAGCCGTCAATTTCCGCTCGGTTCTGGATCCCATATGATATGCGTCATAACTCTGGTTTATCACCAATATCCGTTCTGAGAGCTTACAAACGCATAAGAAATAGTGCGTACGAAGTTTTGCTATCAGGATGTGGGATATCATACTCAGCAATCTGTGGGATTACACGGACAAAATCGTGTTTATTTAAAAAATATATATAAGAAATACGTATTTATCTTGGAGAATATTAGTTTTATAATTTAACACAATGTTTTAGCTAAAAGTTTACAAATTTTGTATTTTTTTTCTGACAACTAAGTAATTTTGTTGTTAAAGACTTAATTTAAAAACCGTCTCCCGAGTGTCATAAAAACAAATTAAAATTATAAGGTGAAGCTAAATAGAAAGTAAAAGTTGAAAATATACCTCATTGACATCAGTAACGGTACTCTGAACTGGGCTCTCAGCATTCTCTATTTCAGAGAGTGGAGAGTCAGCTCCCTGGCCATCAGTGAACATGGACCAACCGCCACTGGCAGGGTGCGTTGGCGTACTGGTCGTCACTGCTTGAACTAACTTCGCTAAGTGAGGAAGATGAGTTGGAGTTGTCATCTCTTTTTGATTGGCTGGAAAATTTAACAATATAGGATATATGAATAATTTAAATTCGTTTGCAATGGTAGTAAACAATCATATGACAATACAGACAAATGCAAACGCCACGCTTCTGAATTTCTGAGGACCTACGAGACAATGCATAATGTAATATGTACAATGACTGTTTATATAACTAGATTTGCAGCAGAAATGCCAGAATATTTTATTCATGTAGGTACATAGACTGTTAACACAAAAGTTGAACCAGAGTCGTTTAACTAATTACGGTACTGCTACTTATTATTAAAAATTGATGCCTTATTATTAAAAATTTCAAGTCATAAAAAAAGAAATTGTGATATTTGATATTAAAATAGTAGCACAGTAGTTTAAATGACGGCATGCTCAATGCACGTTAAAGTAAAAATAACAAAAATGAAAACGAACCAAATAAAAAATAATGATAGTATAAAAGTAACGGGACTTACTCGCGTAGTATGTTAGTCGGAAGCGGTCCTACTAGTTTCAGTCATAATCGATGGTCTTCATCAGGGGTTGAGTGCACCGTTCGCGACCGCGTCATGTCTAGTGCTAGACGTGTGTCCTAGTCTAAGTCCTATTACTTTTATACTATAATGTGTGATAACCGCGTTAGTTTTCATAATATAAAAAAATAATTCAGACGTAAAGCATTAACAACTCTGAAAGTACTGAACTGGAAGCAATTCAATGAAATGAATGCTAATTATTTGCAGAATGCAATTATGCGGAACAATAAGCAAATAAACGAAATTAAACAATAAATTGTAAAACCAATTATTTTTGGAGCATGATGATGTTTTTGACATTTTTGTCAAAAACATCATCAACATTAAGTTTAAAATTAAATATATCATTTGTATTTTCATATACAAACAAAGCTCTTTCACATGATACCTCACGATATATTACTTCATTTTCAGATTTAAAGCGGTTTTAGACAACTATTAAAAAAACACAACGCGTTTTTTTACACAAAATCTTTGAGTGGTTCGGCATTTCATATAAAAATAGAAAGATAGATTACTCGTTTGTTTGCTGAATCACAGTACATTACAAACAAGCTTATGACAGGTACAATGGTAGTCATAAAGAAAAAGGCTAGTCTAGGTTTGCGGGTATGGTCTGGAGTGTTATAATGTGTCAAGTGTAGAGTTGAGTGTACTGTGTCAGCAAAATGGGCCCGACTCAGCATTATGCCGCAGTTCAGTCGAACTACGACGCTGATGATTCTGCCAGGTCCTAAGGTGAGCGGGTAAGAAAGAAGTAACTCAGAATAGAGAATCGACACGGAGTTAGAATGTAATGTATGTAGGTATAACATTAATTGTATAGGTGAATAAGTTATTATATAAGCCATAAAACGTGGACAAGGTAACTGGAAAGAAAATAAAAAAGATGAAAGATCTAAATGTGTAAGTAAGTTGTGTGGTTGTATAATAATTGTAAATGGATGGTTTGGAATGGATGTGTTTTGCTTAAAGGTGTGTGTTTGTGCGTAGGTATGTAAAAAGTAAGTGGAGTGTATGTGTGGTTTATATATAACTATGAAACAACGTATTTATGACAGGGAAAATATTTTGTGGGCAGGTAGTGTAAAAGAGATTAAGATGTGAACTTTGATATTTGTATCGGACACGCGTCAAAATATTCTGTACAAAGTTTTTTTTAAGTGCGAATTTAAGAGTGAATTGATGTAAGATTTCTTAAGGGCGGTGGTATGTCAATCCATATTTTAGACGCGTTGTATTTGAAGCAGCCACAGAAAGCAGCCGTTTTATGTGTGGGAATAATGAGTGGCGGGACGCATGCTCTGAGAGTTCTGGCTTGACTATTTGTACGCCATTCCAGTTTTTTGTACAAATAAGTTGGTACTTGATTTTTTATGATTCCGAATAACAGAGTCGCAGTATGCAGTTTTTGTCGCTCACTCATGTTGAGGAGCTTAAAAGAATTTAGATAAGGCGTGACATGGGCGCGTGGGGTATTCTGAAACAATACCTTGCACAAGCATTTTGCACACGCTGAATTAATTTCTGGGATTTTTTACTAATACAGGGCCCATACACGGTGATGCAGTAATTTAGTGTCGATAGAACTATTGCATCACATAGCATTACCCTTACGTCTAAATTTATAAAATCTCGAATCCTGTATAGTAGACTAGGCTGTACTCTTTGAGTAGGATTGCTGGCTGAACATAGGTAGTGATTATAGTTTGTATTTGGAACGCTAAGAAAATAAGGAAGGATCTTGACATATCATAGTAAGATTATTGTTTCGTAACCCAAAAGTATAAAATATGTAAAATGGTAAAATAAACCAAAGTTTGAAGTTAATCCCGTTTTATATTATTAAAAGTACCTCTCGCAATGCATCTGAGCTACAGCCCTCTATTATAATTGGTGGAATTCGCCGGTTTACAATAATGGAAGTACGAGTCACGATGTGAAAATTTTTTATATTTTTATTTTGAAAAACCTGGCAATGGAAGAAGAAATATAATGTAATTCAAGCCTGCAAATGTTAGACGCAAGCTTACGATTGATGAAAGGATCCGATGAAGAAAAGTCCATAGTGAAATATTTTTATATGTTGTTACGACACAACCACAAGGAAAGCGCAACAAAAGGTCGTAATATATATTTTTATATTTAATATTGATTTATAATTGGTGCCAGTAAAAAGTGCGAGGAGGAAATATGTATGGTGTACCGGCACAAAGATTTAATGGGTTCAACGACGTAGATGAGTTTTTGAACCAATTTGAGACCATTAGTATATTAAATAATTGGTCTGATGTGCAGAAGAAATACGTGTTTGCATTGTATTTGGAGGGGCCAGCTCTGCAATGGTACAAAACGTATTCTTCTTCATACGTGTCGTATGATGTGATTGCACAGAGGTTGAGAGAGGAATTTCCCTCACAAATTGATTACGCCCGAGAATTTTATTATAGGCGACAGGGGCATAGTGAATCGCTTATAAGTTATTTTTATAGTTTAGATGTGTTAGCGAGGAAAGCGAATATTCAAGATGTTCAGTTTATTAAGCATTTTTTGAAGTCTTTGATACCCAATTTTAAATGGATGCTGGCAAGTAATTTGTATCTATCTAAAGAGGAGTTGAGAAAAACAATTATACAAGTAGATGACGTATTTAATCACAGTTATAGTGTGAGTCGAGAAGATATTGTATTGCCAGTAAATTGTCAAATAGAGCATTCTCACTGTTGGCAAACACAGGATGTCTCTGCACCGATAATTAGACCCGAGTCTAAGCAGTCGGAAGATTTAGTGCCACAGGCACCAGTTGTGCAGCAGGATACGCCAAGTCAAGGGTATTCACGAGCACATAGTAGTGGATCTTCGTCGGGATCTCCTCAACGTGATTGTCAGAAAAGCGCAACTGAACATGTAGAAAATTTGTCTACAATTGATGGTTCTAGCGTAGATAGGGCACCTTTTATATCTGTTTTTATTAATGATGTGAGTTGCGAGGCGTTGGTGGATACTAATGCTTCAGTTTCAGTAATTTCTCGGTATTTTGCGGAAAGGTTGCAATTGCGTATCGATGATAATCCAAGTTTTCCATTACGTACAGTGGGTGCAACGCCAATAAATGTGCAGTCGTCCACCAAAGTGTCGTTAATGATTAATGGAAGGGAATATCCTTCGAAGTTGCTGGTTGTAGACGATCTTGAAAAATATTTGGTTCTGGGTCGAGATGTTTTGGAAAAGTGTAAT